CCAATCCGAAGTAACACCCGTGAAAATATTCGTAGATCCGGGTTGAGAATGAGTTCGACTTAGAAGTGCACTATCGCAAAAGAAATGCACCAATTCTTTCATCATCTGTCTAAAAAATAAAGTTAACTTGATAATAATGTCAAATAATATTAAAGATTGAATAAAAATTTTACCGTGCAAATAGAACAGTTGGTTATGTGGCGTAAATCTTTCCTTTGAAGTCCGTATATTCGGTAATATAAGGTAAAGCCAACATATGATTGTAATTAGTAATAAATATGAAATTTATATTATTTCAATCGATGCTACTAAATTCCGGGAATTTCTACCAAAAATTGCCCACATCGACGAACTTTACTGCCAGAACTTCCACTTCCATCACCAGTTGAATCTATCAAACGATCTAATTTACTACGTTTCCAAAGAAAATTGGATGGAGTTGCATCAATGGAGGAAGATGTATGATCTGAATTATCTAACATGCTAGAATGATCCTCGACGGGAACCGATACATGTTGTTGAGCTTTTGAATCGATAATTTCACGAGGTGGAAATTCTAAAAAATCAATTAAGAAATTCATCTGCATTAATTTGATTAAGAAACAATTTTTTCTTAAATTACGACTTTATGGATGTTATTAAAAGGAATCTTAATTCAAACTGTCTAAAAATATTCAAACCTACTAGCTTCATTTTAATAATTAATAATGTTTACAAAAGTCTGAAAAGAACAAATCTTAAAAAAAACCCACAATTTGGGAAAGAAAATAAGGGGCTTTATATTATTTTAGTGTGTGGCTGAGTTGACGATCAATTTTCAGAGTTTATTTCTTAATAACATCATCTGTTATGGCATTTAAATTTTTGTAATACGAAATGGGTAAGTATGTAACAATAGAATAACATCGGCTATAAAAATTATTAATAATTTAATAAGATATATTATATTTTATCGAATTAATAGAAATTTCCATAAAAAAAAATTTCTCTTTCATTCATTTAATACGAGATATGGGAATGACCTCGCTCTTTTACTGTCCTCTTAGTAAATTACCCTAAATCTTGCCTATTATCTACAGAAGAATGGAGATATTGAAATAAATTCGTTTATTGATTCGTAATATTTGATATTAATAAATAACATTATTAATTGCAATTAATATAATTAATTTAAGTTTATATAGTTACTTTAACGTTCAATCATATAATTTAATATACGTCCAAAAATATTAAATTTTTTAATTCTTAGAAATTATAACATCTGTTATCTAGATACATTTTATTAAATTTGAGCATGTTAAGTTAATAACAAACGAGTTTTCAATTATTTGTTACGTCTAATTATTTTATTCTTATTTTTTATGCTAAATTAAAAATTATAGCAAATAACATTATTTTTAAAGAATGAAATGCATGCAGTAGATTAAACCTAAAAATACAAAATTTTCAAAATTTTAAAAAATCAGTTGCTTATTGCTGCTTAATATGGTAAACAAAAAAGTTTATTTCAAGTAAATTAATACACATTATACGATGATTACGTATAACCTCAAATATTAGATTCTGGTTTATGAATTTAATAATAAAAATATTGATAATAATACTATAACCGGGTTCTTTCACACAAACGATTAAAATTGTTATTTTAAAAAAAAGGTATCATTTCTTTCGCTCGCATTCTCTCAAGAGTATTTTTCAGGAAAACAACGGTATTTTTGATTTGAAGAAGAAATAAATTTTATTTATTATTTCTTTTTTTTGACGCAAAATAAAAAAAAACGAAAAACTGTATCATCTTGAATATCAGATTTAGAAATGAAGATAAAATCTTCTTTATTTTAATCAAAATCGGAAATATCTTGTAAATAATGAATCATTTTGAGATGCTAAATTACATCAATTTTTCTGTTTTTCGTTCTTCATAGAACAATATTTGTGCAAAGTAACACGGTAATGCTTTATTAAAATTACCAAAATCAATAATTTTCAACATGGAACCGAGTCAAATTTGTGTACCACACTATGCAGCACAAACGAAAGAATATATTTAAGGCAACTTGACAAAGCGATTTATTACATGATTTTTACATATAAAGCTTTCCTCCCGAATGAACAAAAATAAAAAGGGCTTCTTTTGCAGATCATCAACGTTCCCGCCTTGACCAAAAATTACGATTAAAAGAATCCCCTAAAGGATGGATATGAAGATAACACTTATTCACCTGATTGTCAACCAATCACGTATCTACTCAATTTTTTGAGTTGGCAACATCAAGCGCTAGTCCTAACTACGCTTCGCTCCGGACTAATTAATGAAATCGGGATAACAGACAATCTTTTCGAGTGAATCAATAGATTATTTTGCATAAATTTTTTCAGACAATCTTAAACCTGAAAGAGACTTAAATAAAGATGAATTATTAAATTTTCTGATCATCATGAAAGAATTATAAAGTAAGTTATTTTATCGAAAGAAGATGTACGATATTACATTAAGAAGAAAATCCCTTTTACTGTCACAGAAGGTTTATCTAACCACTTATGGCAATAAATCTGAATTGACTTTATTGTTCTTTGAAGATAATGTAATGTATCTTGCATTAAGAATATTTATTGGAACCGAACACGAGTCAGAATTATCAACATCCACATTAATTCAATTTATGATTAACCAGCACAATTATATTAATTAATTAGTAATACTTCAAAAATACAGAGAAAAAAAGTCGGATGATTTATTATTATTGTGGATGGAAAACTTAAACAAATTGATTCTCAACAGAAGATTACCTTCAAAGGTTTTTTTACGAATTATTTAAATTGTCGGATGAAGAAATTATTGTAAAATAAATATCCAGTAACACTTTTGCGAATTTTTAATTTAATTTTTTATAGTTTCAAAGAAATATAAGGGGTTGCCAGCAATCATATAATAGAGGTTAACCGGTTAAAGATCTTTAAAAAAATTTAAAATAGTTAATTTTAACTCCGGCCGAAATTTAATTTTCGGCAAGAATTAAGATTCGCTAGCTTCGCCCAAATTTATAGTGCCGGCCTGAATTGTTTTTTTTTTGTAAATTCATTTAACAATGCTAGGTTAATGCATCGAAAAATTAATCCTAATTGAACTTCAATACCTTCTTATGTCCACCAGAATTTCAAAATAAAAGCACGAATAGTTTTGCTTAAAGCAAAACGTTTGGCTGCAAATACAGAAAAAAAACTCGCTTTCCACATGATGTTCATCACCAATATTACGAAACCAAGTATTATTTTTAAATATTTTTTTTTTTAAAAAGTAAATAATAATATAAATATTTAACTAATTTAACTAATTTCAAATATACTTACGGACAGCTAAGAAATTTTGCTTCTCGATGAGTTTTAGCAATATTATGTATCAATGATCATTTCCTTCAAAAAGTTCTTTTATAAAAAAGTTCACTACGTAAATGCTTTTTGTTTTTTTTGTTTTCATTTCCAGAAGTAAGGTCAATAGCTTCGCTCATTGTTAAATTAAATTATTTATAATTAAAAGAACAAAATTTTCTCTTGTAGTACAAATTAGAATCACACGATCACCTGGGGTCTTAAAACTACAACCCCGATTCTTAATTCAATTCGGTTCAATAACTCCGATCGGTTCGAAGCACTAAGCAATACTTGTTTTGTCACTCAATTGATGGGTCAGAGCACACAACACAATTTTTATAAAGATTCTTATCTCTATGCATAGACATGCCATACAGAGGTAAATAGTTTTTAAGGTTCATTTGTTTTAAGTAATATTGTTATCCATGATTGTAAGATTATCTTCGGTAAAGATAAATTAATCATTAAAAAAAAAATTTTTTTTTATTTAATGATAAATATTTAGTTGTTATATAAATAGTAACGATACCTCAAAGTTTGTGATTTATAAAACCGCACGCACAGTTTTATTTCCTGTATCTCCTAACATTGTTGTTCTGTTACAATATAATAATAAATATACAAAATGTATCAAAGGTATCAAAGTCGAAGAAAACATTGTGCAAACAAAATTAATCAAGTAACATATCAAAGAAACCCCGAAGTCGCGTTCGATCTATTGATAATCAAGACACATTGAATAGAATTGCAAACCTTCCGCCGCAAACTATAGATGATAAACCTATGATTTATCAATTTTTTAACGGGATGTCCTTCCCTTAAATTCTTTTGATAATTATATAAAGAAAAGGATGTATTGGTAGGTAAGATTTATGTTAATAAAAATATTATTTATTTTGTTAATTTTAATTAAATATTTTAAAGACTTATTTCGCATTGTTCGATATTTTTTTTATTATGAATTATCCTTCAAAAACAACTACAATAATATGGGACGATTTCTGGAATAAAGGAACCGAATTAAAAATATTTATTCCTAAGGGAATAAGATATAACTTTATTCTTTTTCAGCACTTTAATTATTTTAAAAAATTTATTTTGCAATTTCTCCCATATGTACTGTATATTGGAAATACAAAATTATTCTTTTTTTATTGCTTCTAAATAAATTGTATTACAAGTTGTATTTGACCTAATGTTTGATTAATTCTTGTCATCATCATATTGAAATAATGTCAAGTTTTAGCGATATATAAATTGTAAAATAATATTTTATTTTTATTTTTATTTTTATTAAAATCGAAATTTTCTAAAAATTTTTTTTTTTTTGTTATTCATCATGTGTTGATCAACAAATTTAATGTAACACACGGCGCTTGTGATTAAAAAAAAATCAAACAATGTTAAAGTACCTTTGTATTTTGATTTTTTTTTCCCTTACACAATTTACTGCGCCATTTAACCGACGCATTCTTGAACCATTTCAGTAACGATTGTAGTATGCGAAGATAAATAATAATCGATTATAATATCCAAACAAATTTCATTTATATAAAAAAAATGGATCAAACGGGCATAACGTCATACACCGTTAATGAACAAATTAACCTAAATTAAAATGTAAGGGATTTTATGATACACCTCATGCTTTATTAACAAGGGGAATTCCTGGTTCATTCGGTGATAAGGAATTCTGCTAAGAACAAAAAACCACATTTTCCTTTCAAAAGCTTTTACTTTAGGTTAAAATTTTCTTATATGTAAACAACAATTAGTTTGCAGTTTTCTTTATTCTACAATCAGAACTGGTGGCGTTATTATATTCAAAACAATGACTACACAATGCTTTTTTGTACATATACTTTGACCAAAAACATCATGAATCGTTATTCCGGATAATCCATAATCTCACTTGTTTATCACGTTTTTGTCGGAAAATTTATTATTGGCTATAAATGAGATATACGTCATTTTGAATAATGAATACGTTTACAAATTCATTGGTTCGGAAAATTTACAACTGTTTTCTTACTACGGTTAGATTACGTATCGTACTCTTGATATGGTTAGAATTTCTCTTTTATGGTTTAGTAATTTACTTGTATTGATAACCTTTTTTAGTTAGTATATGGGCGCATTGTATTACAAAGAAAAAAAATTGATTTTTTACCGGATTTATGCAATTAAAAATTTTTTTTAAAGGATTCAA